TCTTGGGGCTACGCAGATGAGAGATATTATGCTGCAGGGAGTGGGATGACTCGATGATGAGGGCGGGTTTCTTGGAAGTCATATTCGCGTGGGGGGGGGGGCTCGATTTTTGCACGGACGACGAGATGAACCGCGAGTTTCTCATGCACGATTTTACTTCGTATTTTCGAGGTGTGTGTATATGTAAATGTATAGATGTATGTGTATATATATATGTATTTATATATAGATATATCTATATAGCCGCCCCTGGTTGGATCCCTGCTCAATTTCCCCCTCCTGAACGTGCCAGCGCTCACCAGCCTATGGATGACAATGTATGGCTCTGCGGCTTGCGGGATGAATCGGACATCGTTTGCAACTGCGCGTTTACGACGTATGAAGGGGGTCACGCAACATCGCATGGCTAAACATGGTTTGAGGGATAGCTGGGCCCGAGCTGTTACCGTGCGACGTCAGCCCTTTCCCTTTCTGCCTGGTCATATTCAGCTGCGTACAAACGGCCCAGAGACACCCCTTGGCTGCAGTTGCCAGTGGGGGGGGGGAGCGTGGATTGTTCCAGATGCCATGTGGGTAGATTGCATCCTGATCGAGTTGAATGCCACCTTGGTGATCGTCGGGCTCAAACACTTGCGCATATTCGCACCCGCCTGCCGCCGCTCGACATTTTTTCGCGGAGAAATCCCGACGTCATCGAGCTGCGCGCTATGGCGCTGAACCTGGCGGCGCCTGCGTGGGGGCGGAAACGAATGCGAGGTGGCAGCGGGGAGCAGTCGCAGCAGAAGACTTCGGTGGCTCGTCGGCAACTTGCTCGGCCAAGGCGCCAACGAGATCAACGCAGCATCCAAGCTACCCATCGTTCTTACGAAGCTGTCGCGCGCGAGCGCGACCGAGATCCGCGAGAAGATCGGGGTGCTTTGGACGGCCCTCCTCGTCAGCTGCGCCTCTCCCGCGGTCAAAGCTATGTCGCAGCGGGGCGAGGCCGACCGCGGGGCCGCAGACGCCGCCGAGGACGATCCCGAGGCGCGGGAAACGTTCGGCCCGCCGTTCCCTCGCGTTCTCGCCGGTCTATGCTCCGCTGGCGGGGCGAGCGCGAAGACCTGCAGGCCTCGGGCGCGCGGGGGAGCTCAGGAGTTGTTGCGCGCGCGCGGCGCGGGGGGGCCTCGCTGCTGGGAGACGGACTCGTTGGGGCAGGTGCTCTACAGTGAGCGGCTTGAATAAGGAAGACTTACTTTTCAAGAGGGGCTCGGTCGTTCCTTAAGTTTGCATATGCTATGTGTCGTTTCTTATGGGCCATACATTATTTACCGTCCCGCAAGCGTTATACCTTGGGCACGAAAGGGGCTTCGTTCCTTATTTATCGTTCCTTAGGTCAGGCCGATGATTGTATTGCAAGTGGGAAGTAACCGAGCAGAAGCAGGGCAAGGAATCTGTGGCCAAGGTGTCACCCGCGATGCGCGCGTCGCAGTCGGAGGTTCAGGACCTGTTCGTGAGGATGTTGCTCGCCCACCAGGCGACCCAGAAACGCGGGCCTGCTCCCCGCGGTTCGGTCGAGCGCGCGGTTCGGGAACTTCTCGAGGTGCTAGATGGCGGGTCCCCCAAGGCGAAGTCGAAGGCGAAGGCGTTGATTTGCGGAGAGCTGTGAAGCTCGCGCACATCGAGCGCGCGCAGATTGCAATGTCCAGTCAGAGACTGTTAACTTTAGTAGAGAGTGAAGTGGTTCCGCTCGACGCGGCTCTGGGGCAAGCAGTTCCCACGGCGACTGTCGCTCAGGTGCCCCAGGCCCGCGCACCTACCGAGCGCCCTGCGCAGAGAGGGTGGGGGGATGAACGATCCTGCGAGCGCGGCCCCGAGCGAGCCCGACTCACGTGATCACCCTCCTCCCGACCTTTAAAACTTTTTCAGCTATTTCATGCCCGTCTGCCTTCGGGCTTGTGCTCGTTGCCATCTTTGCTGTGCCTTTGCCCTTTCTCGTGCCCCTTCGGGCGCTTCTTGCGGTGGTGTGGATTACCTCCCCCTTGCCGCCGACGAAGAACGTGTCCCCTCGGGCCCTCGTCGGTCTCTTCGGCTCGCGGCCTTGCTCTTTGTGTCCTGGGGGTGGGTTGCCTTTGCCATGCTTGTTGACAGGGGCTCAACCCTGCAGTCATGCGGGTGCGAAGTGGCCTCTCAGCCTTGTCCTCGAACAAGGGTGCCACAGGTCGCCTGAGCAACTGCCCATGCCCAGCGCATTTGCTCTTGTCCGCGCGGCAGGAATTGCAACGTTCCCGGGTGGGTCCTCAGGGCTTCGTGGCAAGCACACTATTGTTATAAAGTGGCGCGGGACATCAAGAGTGGCCCAAGCTTCTCACGCGTTGACGATCTGTCTTAATGCCCCCCATAACTCGATTCGATTCGATTCGATTCCTCCCTCCTCCCTCCATCCCCTTTCCTAATCGATCCCTCCTCCACCTTGTCGCGCCCCGAGACGTGTCAGTAGGTCGGGCCTTGCGTTTTGCTTGATATTTCCTCGCCGTGTATGATCCGCAATTAAGAATTTGCAGCACTTTTACAGATGGAGGGCGGGTTGTTTGCAAGATGTGGCGTTCGCCTCAACGCCGCGCACATTCGTCTTAAAGTTTGCAAGAGTTTGACGGATTGATGGCGGGCGGTTTTTTGAAAATGATATTCGCCTTAGCGCCGCGTGCGTTCGCCTTAACAGTTTTGTTTTGCCAGAGCTTGACGGATGGATGACGGGTGGTTTTCAACGTGTGACTCGCCTTAACGCCGCGTGCGTTCGCCTTAACCGTTTTGTTTTGCAAGCGTTTGACGGACGAGGATATTTTCTTCAGAATGCGCTTATTTTGCCGTAGCGGTGCGCACATTCGTTTGAATAATTTGTTAACAGCAGTTTCAAGGGGTCGCGTGGTTCACGTCCCCAGAACGCGTTTTGGAACGACGTAGGAGAGTCAATGCGCAGTAGTCACGTTGACCCGCGGTGTTGAATTCCTAGCAATCGTGTTTTCTTGTGGCGCGGCTCTGGATCGTCAGGACGCAACAATAACATTGACTCGCGGCTTTGGAGTCCCAGGAATGGTGTGTTGGCACCGCTCAGGGTTTTCAGTCTGTTGTCTTCCAACGGGGCATTTTCCTCAGTGGAAATCGATCCTCGTATGGACCTTGTGAAGAAAGAACTTTGAGGGTTTGTATTGCAACATCGTTGATGAGTGTTGGGCTTGCACTGAATCGTCGTCGTCGTCCTCCTCCTCCTCCTTTTCCAGCCCGTGATCCCCTTCCCACCTCCGTCTTCCCCCCTCCTGCTCCATTCTGCCCTCATCCTCCTCCCTCCACCTCCGCCTCCTCCTTCACTGCTCCCTCGTCCCTCCCCTCCCTCCCTAGGTGGGTTTGCACTGAAATCATCTTTCGCCCAGCGGCAAGCGAGGGGGTGAAGTGAGAAGGCGAGAGCCTTCTCAGAAAGCGGCGGGACGTCTCAGTCCGCCGGCCTTCTGATAAGTCTTCTGCGTCCCGGGGGAAGGCTTTGGAAACTTCTCAGAAGGCCGGGGGACTTCCGAGCCTTCTGACAAAGCCTTGTCCTTTTCACTTCTCCCCCGGGCTCGCCGCCGATCCTTGGGAGCACGCCCCGGGGGCCCAGAACGCGAGGGCATGGATATGGACAGACTTGCCGCCCGTGGCAGGGAGTTGTCTCCAGAGCGTGCGGGGGCGCTCTGATGCGGCCGCGGCGCCCGGTGCATCGTCCTTCTCACTCCACCCCCTTGCTCGCTTGCAGGAGTCTTGCAAGGTTTGGGAGCCGTGACCCCGCGCGCCCCGCCCCGAGAGGGCCTGGTCTTTCGACTGCACGGCGTTCCGTTCGCCCGCTCGGGTCCAGGCTGGGGCTGGAGGGTTCGGGCAGTGCCCCGCGGCGCGCCCGTGCTGGCCTGTGCTGCCGCGTTCGCCCGAAGTGTCGATTCCATTCCCCTCCTCCTCCTCCTCCTCCCCTCCTCCTCCTCCTCCTCCTCCTCCTCCCTCCCTCCCTCCCTCCCTCCCTCCCTCCCTCCCTCCCTCCCTCCCTCCCTCCCTCCCTCCCTCCCTCCCCCCCTCCCTCCCTCCCTCCCTCCCCCCCTCCTCCCTCCTCCTTCTCCTCCCTCCTCCCTCCATCCCCTTTCTCAATGGATACCTCCTCCCTGTCGCGCCCCGAGACGTGTCGGTAGGGCGGGCCTGGCGTTTTGCTTGAGACTTTCTCGCCATGTATGATCCTTAAGCTTAGAATTTGCGGCAATTTCACAGATGTAGGGCGGGCCGTTAACAATCTGTGACTCTCGGGTCAGTGCCGCGCGCATTTTTCTCAAGAGCTTGCAAGAGTTTGACGGGCGGTTTTTAAAATGTGACTCTCGCCTTAGCGTCGCGTGTGTTCGTCTTAATGGTTGTGCAAGGATTTGACGGGTGAGGGCGGTTCTTTTTCGAAATGTGGTTCTCGCCTGAGCGTTGAGCACATTCGTTTGAAGAAACGGTGTTTTGGTACGATGAAGGATTGTCAAAGCGTTTCGCTCGAGATTTTCTCACGCCGTGGTCCCGGAGAAAAGCCAAACGATATCAAGGGCGACCTCGTTTGAGATGGAGAGGTTCGTTGGATGCGCGAACGTCCTTCCATGCATGCGTTTCACTTGGTGCATTCCTACTTGCCATACGGGGCGCGCATCAAGAAACCATGTGCTTTTCTTGAGGGTATCCTTGATGTTTTCGCTCCTCGCGCTGCGCGGTGAATTCCCGCAGCCGTTGAAGGAGCTGCTGCGTTCAGGGTGCTCCAGGTCTCCCCTCGGGTGCACCGCGCGCACGGGTTCTCAGGCTTGGGGCCCTTGCGAAGGCTCCTTGCGGCCGCGCCCGCAGTGCAAGCGCGCCTGCCCCTCGGGGGACCGCTCCGGCTGCCGGAGCCGGCGCGCAGCCCTCCCAGCCTTCCCGCCCCCCCTCCCCGCCGCGGCTCGCGAGGGCGGCCCAGGACCTCCCTCGGGCGCGGGGCCCGCCGGGAGGTGCCTTTTTTTGCCCTCGCCCGCGGCGCGGCCCCCGCGGGGGCCTGCAGGCCAGGCACCCTCTCGGGCCAGGAGGGCCGTCGTCGTCGCTGCCGTCCGTCGTGGTTGTCGCCGCCGCCGTCGTCGTCGTCGTCGTCGTCGTCGCCGCCGCCGCCGCAGCCGCCGCCGCAGCCGCCCGTCGTCGTCGTCGTCGTCGTCGTCGCCGCTGCCGCTGCCGCCGCCGCCGCCCGTCGTCGTCGTCGTCGTCGTCGTCGTCGTCGTCGTCGTCGTCGTCGTCGTCGCCGCCGCCGCCGCCGCCGCCGCCGCCGCCGCCCGTCGTCGTCGTCGTCGTCGTCGTCGTCGTCGTCGTCGTCGTCGTGGATGTCGCCGCCGCCGTCGTCGTCTTCGTCGCCGCCGCTTCCGCCGCCCGTCGTCGTCGTCGTCGTCGCCGTCGTCGGTTCTGTCCGTCCGTCCGTCCGTCCGTCCGTCTGTCCGTCTGTCGGTCGTCGTCGTCGTCGCCGTCGTCGGTCGTCGTCGAAGCGAGTGGCGAAGGGACGGGGAAGGATGCCGCGGAGGAGGAGGAACAGCAGGAGGAGGAGGAGGAGGAGGAGGGTTTCAGGGCTCCAGGTTCACGACAGCCAGTTCCGAAAACTGGCAGGGAGCCAGTACGAAATCATGCCGAAAACCCCTTGATGACAACCTTGGAGGGATGGGGGTTGGAGGGAGCTCCTCCTCCCCATCTTTTCCGCTTTGTGCTGCCATGCGGTGAGCACCCATTGAATCAGGCGAGCTGGCTTGTGATTGAACGAACGTGATCGTATTCGGAATGCTCTTGAGTTTTTTGGGGGGCGTCTTGGGGGCCTCCTCTGCCGTCTTGAGACCATCTTGTTCTTTGAGCGATCTTTGGGCGATTCGAGGTCCTCTTGGACCGTGTGGGGGGCTTTTGGGGGCCCCCATTGTCACGTTCTGATAGTTTTTGCTTCCTGAAAAGGCACGTGGGGACACTCGGGGACACCGCGGGATTCGTGGTCATGGGCCCTGTGGAGTGTTGCCATACTCGAGGCAGAGGAGTCGACGGGATCTGGGGACACTCCACTCCGCGCTCGGCCTGTGCTGGCACAGCGCGCAGCTCTATGGCCGCGACCTTCCTGATCCTGAAGCTCAACGGTGTCCGTACTTGCATGATAGGGCAGCGGCTCTACGAGGACGTCCCTTGTCCCACGTCGACGCGCGGTTCTCCGGACGCGGCTCTCGTGAGTCTGTGACTCATACGCCCGTGCTCATTTGTTTCGCTTCATAGGGAAAGGCCGCCCAGACGTTATTTCACGCATCGACACTCCACTTCGTGCTTTGTGGCACGGTGATTAATTTTGCAGTGGAAGATTCAAGGGGCACTCTTGGATGGCCTTTCCGTTGCATTCCATTGCAGTTGCGTTGCGCTCCGTTGGTTTGTTTGCTTTGCGTTGAGCTACCGTGCTGTGGTTCGATGTGCGTTGTGTGACTAGATCTTTGCGCTGAATTCATTCGGATGCCTTGCCTTGCTGTGAATTGCATCACTTCGTATATGCGCACTTGGTTTACACGGCATTGCAGTGCAATTGCGCAGTGCGCAGCATAGCAGTACACCGCAGGGCAACGTAATGCAGTACAGCATGAATCCGTGCATTGCAGTGTAGTGCGCATTGGAGCAGGGCAGTTCACGTACAATGCAACGCATCGTATTGTAGCGTAATTCAAGGCACCATGCTCTAGCACAGCGCATAACAATGCGCTACCATTGCACGGCGGAGCGACACACTGGATCAAACGTTGCCGAACAAAACGATGCAACATCATGCAAACCAGTGTGCTACAATTCTCGCGGACTGGGCCGCGGATGTGTGTTCTTTTCCAGGAGGGCGGCGCACCCGCGCGAGGTCAACTGCGCGTGGGGCTGCATTCTGGCGCGCGATTTTTTTTTGGATGGCGTAGTCGACCAGCCGATATTTGCTGCGCCAGGTGTGGTGACCCTGGTCGAAAGTAACCCAGTAACCCTGGGTTTCCAGGACAGGGTCAGGAGGCTTCAGAGTACCCTTCACGAGGCCCCGATGGCCTGTTTTTCTTGTTGGTGTCAAAATGGTGCGAAGAGTTTCGGGGGAAACTTGGGCAACGGCGAAGGACGCGCCTGCGTCGCACAGGCTGGGCATCTGGGGCGTCTACACCTTGAGCTTGTTGGCCGACACAAAATGTCGTGTATGCATCGAGGCATTCTCAGCCCAGAACGAATTCTGACGCCCTCCCGGCCCGAACCAGGCCCTTGGAGACCGAAACGGTCAATCGACCGCGGCCATCGTCGGCGTTCAATCGACCCTGGATCCTTTCTCTTCTGGCACCCCCCGATCGCACACTTCCTTCTTAGCAACTCCCTCTCATGATGATAATGAGGGTACCGATGTTAATGAGTATCCAAATGCTGATGATGCTGATGGTGACGATGATGCTGCTGATGATGATGATGATGATGATGATGGTGATGTTGGTGATGCTGGTGAGGGCGATGGTCATGTTAATGCTGATGCTGGTAATGGTGGTAATGGTGGTAATGGTGATTCTGATTATGATGCTCATGGTAATGATGATGAGTATACTGTTGATGATGATGCTGATGATGGTGGTGATGATGGCGATGAAGATGTTGATGGTGGTGGTGGTCATGCTGACGACGACGATGATATGATGATGATGATGATGATGATGATGATGATGATGATGATGATGATGATGATGATGATGATGATGATGATGATGATGATGATGACGATGGTGATGGTGAGGATTACGATATTGATGCTGCTGCTGATGATGCGGATGCTGATGGCGAGACTGACCTAGCTGCCGATGATGATGCTGCTGCTGATGCGGATGATTCTACAGTCTTACGCCACATCCCCCGACCCCTTTGGAATGCGTGTCTTGAGAGGGTTTGTTGAGTTTTTCCTGTCTTGTTTTGATTCGCGTGCCGCGGGTTAGCGGCATGTGCTTATTGGCTGCCTCTACGAAGTTGTTGGGCATGTTGGGGGAGGGGGTAATGGGGGTCAGCCGAGCACACATGCGAACCGTCACGTTCGGCCAGCGCGCGTCGGCGAAGGGTGGTTTACCATTCGGCGTCACGCCCGCCTGTTTTGCGGCGTGGTCTGCGGTGACCGCGTGTCGTTTGGTTTGTTTTTCTTTTGCGCGTTCCGCGTGAGGCAAGCGCGTGTCTGCCGCGTGGCCTCGTGGGAGAGGGGGGTGGTTCAGGAGATGCAGGCTTTCGTCCACGAGTTTGGCTTTGAGATGGCATCGTCGCGGCCCAAGAGGGCTCCAAGAGGCTTCCAGACGTCCTTTCGAGTTTTGCCAGCAATAGTATGTTTGGGGCCATCCCGAGATTTCTGCGAGGCTCCCTTGAAACCGCAGAATGGTGGACAACGGGCAATTCACGCAAGAAACGCGATCGGGGCCTCTGGGGTTTCTTCGGGGCCAGGTTCCATGTCTTGCGGGGCTTATTGTTGTACTTTCTGGTGCGGCAGGGGTCTGCAAACGTTTTTTGTTTTCGTCCTCGGCCTCTCAGGCGGCGTTGTTGTTCTTCCAGAGGGCCATTGCGGGATCGGAGCTTCGTCAACGATTCTGCCTAGCAACGCGGCGCGGCGAACTTTCCGGGAGAGGGTGCTTGAGGGTTCGTGCAGGGGGGGGAGCACTCCAGTGGGCAGGATATTCGCAAGAAGGTGGCGGCGGATACTTTCTGTTCTGGACATTGGGAACCTGGCACAATTTGCGTTCCAGTTGCAACGTGTGCCTCCCTCCTCTTGCGTTCCTCCTTCTCTCTTTTTGTGTGCCTCTTTTCGTCTTCCCCCAAACTCCTCTTAGGGTCCTCGTGGTGGCTTCTTGGAACACTGTTGGGGCCCCTCTGGGGATCTTTGGGAGGTCTTTGGGCCCTCTCGGGGTTCTTTGCGGGGATCTGGGGGGCCTCTAGAGGTCGTCCAATCACGGGCAGCGACTTCGTCAAACACGAACGCGAGTTAGCTGTACAACGACGAAGAGTTGGACCCGAGAGGTGTGGACGCGGCCAACAGGCGGACAACGCGGGTCGGGGGCGCGTCCATGGAGAAACAGGACAGGCGCTCCAACGCAATCGCCGAACGCGAAGCATAACAAACAAATCGGTAGGCGATGTCCGCGGGCGACGCAGTCTTGGGGTGTGGGCATGCGTCGGAAGAACGGGAAAGAAAGCAGACGTGGCGGGGCCAGATTTTTGAGCTAGGGCGACGGCGCGGTGCAAAGGGCGCAAGCGGCAGCCGCGGCGTAGAGCTCGAGAAGGAAACGGCGCGGGAGAAACGGATGGTACCATCGGTGGTTGTGGGGGGGAGGGCGACGGCGTGTAGCGTGCGGAGATGAAAGGGGGGGCTTGCGGATCGCGGGATGAAAGCAGGTCAACGCAGCGTCGCGGAGAAGGTGGCCGATCGGGTTGTGGCACAGGAGTTCGCGGCTGAGGCGATGGGTGAGAAGGCGTGCCTGCGGTTTCTGCGCGGCGGTCCAGGGGCTGCGAAGGGCTTCGCCGTAGACAAGATGCGCAAGGATTTGCTCGAGAATGGGATAGAGTGGGCGCGCGGCGTAGGCTTTCAGGCGACAGCTTTGCCGGCGGCCGTCGCGTCAGCCCTCGATGGGAATGCGATTCGCAGTGCATTTTTGCACTGGTGTGGCCCAAGCGAAGGCGCGGAACGCCGAGGGCGATGGAAGCGTGGATTCATAAAGAAAGCGAAGAAGGACATGGCCGCGCAGCGAATGTCCTAATGGGCTTGGCTGGTTATCGGCGAGGCGAGCATGGTGAGCGCGAGCCTCCTCGCAGAGCTCGGTTCGGATCTTCGGTCGTGCGCATCGGCAGAAGGCGACGCGATGGCAGGGGGGGGGGCGGCGCGGACAGGCCGTTCCGTGGCGTGGGCGCGTTACGCCGCGGACATGCCAATCAGCCGGAGCCGCCGTCGGGAACTGCAGGCGATGCGCCGCCCGCGTCGCGTCCGAAACGTGCGAGGAGGTGCTCGCCGGGCGCCGCCGATGA